CGCAGAATCTGCCCAAACGTGGCCCGCCATCGAGCCCAAAAGCGACAGTCATTGTGCAGAATCGACGGTAGTGCAATAATCGGAATTTCAAATTCCAACGATCCCTCAGACGTGAATATCCTCGCCCAACCCACAACAAAGTTATAGATGCATTTCAGAACCACTTGAGATGGCTCTAAGGAATTGTGTGGAATGTGCCCTGATTTGCTCCTGCCCCATCCCGTTCGATTCTAGGCAAATTTGTTGTCACGATTGTCGAGATACTTTCAGAGTTCAGCCTAAAATAGAGTTGCAGGGAAACTCGAGGGCCCAGCTAAACAGTTTTACACCCATCAATTCTGCAGAAACAGTGTTGTGCAAGCTTCTAGGGGTTGGCAGCTCTACTCAAAGCGCACACTGAAAATTGATGTTTAACACATAATATATATAAATCGGACAAAGGAAATTATTAGCTTTCCACAGGTCTTTGTATCATCGAAAGCGGGCTAGTGGTAGAGTAGTTGTAACTTGATAAAACCCTAGTGGGTAAGAACTGCTGGTATACGTGGATGAGATACTACCTACAAGGGTACTAGGCCGGAACCCCGCTCGTTCCGCGCGCAATGCGCTCCTGTGGGGTAACCTGGCTCATGGAATGCCCACAATAGAATTTCGGTTGTTCGAACTACTGCATTTTTAAATAAAGACAATTGTGTTCTGCACATTACATGGCAAGAATGTGGTGGAAATAGAGTGAAAGGATGTCTGCAATTTGGAGATTTTGCGATATATGGGTTTTCGGCTTCCATCATTTTCATGTATTGGTTTTTGATTGGGAGCATTCGTACATGAATCTGCGGAATGAAAACAACCGAAGATGTTTCTTACCCTCTGCTTCCATCCTGTACTGTGGTGCTCCTGCCTCGATCCACAGCATCACAGGGCTGAGAAACACATTCATTTTTCTTTGCTATGTTCAAGGCGTTTGCCTGCTAGTTGTACTTTGCCATCTTGTGGATCGTCTCTAGAACGGCTTGTGTTGTTAAAAAACATGGATGGGGTAATGTTTCCTATCAGAATTGGTCGAGACCCGATCAAAACGATCTGGCCATGCCGGTTGCTTGAGAACTAGTCGCTTGAGGATGCCGCTCAGGTCTCTTCACTGGGGTACGGGTACATTTGGATGTTGTCTTGCCATGTTCCATACTGCTGCACGCGGGGGTCATGTGACCGACCATGTGCGACAACTTGTAATCTCATTATGGGCCAACGCCAGCGCCTCCTGCGGTGCTGGCGATGCCGCAAGCCCCAAGGGCCGCACGGCCGCCCCTATCCGACCGTTCTGCAGGCTGGGCCCAACCTGTGCACTCTGGGAACGCGCATCCCGGTTACACCTGCCAAGATCCATGGCGGAGGCGGGCTCCTCGGAGCCCCATTCGGGCGCCAACGGCGGGAACCACGCCCCAAGAGCTCCATGACCACGCCAACCAGCCCTGATTGATGCGTGCCACGTCCAATTCGATTTTCCCCAAATCGCTTGTCAGTACTGGAGAATTGCCTCCAGTTTTCGTTGTGGGCCCCTCTGTGATCTTTTCAATTTGGAAGGTGAACTGTTTATGCCGTTTGCGTTGGATTTTGACCAAAGCAATTGTGCTGAGTCTGTTCAGTCCACTAGGGAAAAAAGGCCAAATAACACGTGTTCAAAACTGTACAAAGCTTACGGGTTTGGGTTATTTTCATGTGTTGAGCATGCATAACACTGATGAAATGCATATATATGAATTTGCGAAAAGTGTTATTTGGTCCTTTCTCCGCTAGTGGTCGATGCCCACATGATCTCATTCGATTTTGGCCAAATCGATGTTTAAATTCTGGCATTGCTTCCTGAACTTGCAGGTCGCAGTGCTGTGACAGCACACTGCAATCAAGAACAATAAGCGCAGATTGCCCTAGAACGCCAAGCCCAAAGCAAGCGGACCCAGGCAAGCCAAGTCCCACAAAATTGCGTTCCTCGGAACGCAGCCCCAAGGGACCTGGCCTCAACGGTGCTCACCACAAAGACCCAGGCGTCAATCGTACAGAACCCAAAGCGAATGGACCACTAGTGGTCTGCAATTGTTACCCAACCGTCACACATGCCTCCAATGAATGTGACTCCCTGCACGCAGGCAGTCCTTGTATTTATGGGTTGTTGCGCCATCTTCAGCATGAGAAAATGAAGACTGACGTTCGAATTTAGTGCAGATGGAAGAGCAAAGATTGACGGAGTAGTTGCATTTGCGAAATGGAGTGCAAAATTATGGTGATGAAGCCCAGCCCCCCCTTCCCCCCCATCGGCCACCCATCCACTGGCATGTTTGCACAATGCTCCTCACATCCCCCAAGGCAATGGTTGAGAATGAGGGAGGGCGGCATATCCCCACCATACCCACTTTCCTACGTTGTGATGGCAATACATGTGCGGGACACTTTCCCCACTCGGCACATAACCTCATCTACCCTACAGAGCTGCAGTCGCATTAATGATCAATTACCGCTAGTTCTGATTGGTGATCGTCCGCCCACACACGCCAGTCTGTTGCAGATTGAACAATCGTCACATGTTCAAGCACCACATGCATTGAGGGACCAGGGGCCCAGCCATCAACAAGCTGTCGGTGCAGCTGTGCCGAATCGCTGCATCAAAACATGCAGAAGTGTGGGTGGCGGTTTCACAGCAACGTGGGTACTGGAGATCATGGAGGATAAGGCCAACCCTGCGTCGAGCATCATGGTTGGCGTCAAGAACGCGGGGGGCACTCTCTTGCGTGCCCTCACGCTATCTTACGTCCCCCCCACATTCCGCATCACGTCGATAAATCACTAAATTTCCCACGTGCCACATTGACCACCAGTCCAATTTAGCGGATTCTATACCAGTCCAAATAGGGCGCCAATCGCAGTGCGAGTAGAAGGACGTCACCATGACATTACTGTTACTTCGCACACTGCCTGGCTGCACCTCTTGATATTGAACGAGGACGTTCCATCATGGGAGCTGCAAACCCCCGCGCTATCTAATATACCCCCTGCACTCAGCAGCGGTGGCCTATTTGCGGGGGGTGTTATCTAAGGGCTCCCGCGCTATTCAACACCCCCTACGCCGTCCTCCGTGACCTACGGTGATTTGCCAGTAAGCTTTCATTATCCTATTGATTTTGTTCCTTTCAGCGACGTTTCCTTCTTGGAATCGACGCAGCTTGTTCTTTGGTACTTCCAGAATTGATTAACGCAATTCACGTGCAGGAATTTTGGCAATCTGCAGAATGCGACAACATTCATTTTGCATACAACGGCTCTGCTGGCATACTGGGGACAGCAGTGAGATCATCGGCCCATGAGCTGTGCGAATGTCGATTGCCCGGAATGTGCAAATGACCAGCGTGAATGCAGGCTGCTATGTGGCACATCGAACAGGCCCCCGGGAACCAAGGACCAAACAGCGAGTGCCCTACCAACAACAGAAACTCGAAGGGAACAGGCCTCAGACCCACTTGACATTGGTCAAGGAACTGGGCTCCAAGGAACGTCATCTACTGGTCTCAAACAAACCAGCAAAAAATGTGACGATGCACTGGGTCAACTCAAGGGGACCGCACGTGTGCAGCACACTGGTGTCCAGTGCACCTTTGCACACGCCCATCAGACATTTCCACACAGCTGTCCTGCAAATTGTTACAGTCAACCTGCCAAGATCGTTGCACAACAGTCATTGATGAATTCCAGGCGGAACGCCTGCTACAACGCAGACACGGGGACTTTATGCTCGGTAGCAGACCGCGGCTGCGAGCATACCTTATGCCCACAAGCTTGAGCCGAGCAAAATGCCAATGGCTGGGGGGATGCAACGACAGGGGCTGCACTTGCCACCAAAATGCAGAGCATTCTGAATTAAAGCAGGGGCCGATCAGCATACCTGGGAAGCGCCACAGGCACTTTCAGATGCAAACCACCATTCGGCGCCCACACGCACTGCAGGCCAGGGAAACCAATTGATGTTCTGAGTTTAGGCTAACAATTCGAAAGCTGCCGACTTGCCCCCCAGACCAGCGCCTACCCAATAAACGTTCTTGGTTTCTCAGAATTCGTCTTTGGTGTGCCTCGCACTGCAACAAACGCGTGCAAAGTGTGAGGGACTTGCAGCTGCACCAGGCCGGACGAGGCCACTGCTGTGTTTGAGCGTCAGAAATCTGCACAAGCTCAACACTGCCTACCAGCAACAGCCTCACCCAGCAACAGACCTCCACACCACCCATCAACACCCGAATTGGGCAGGCCGAGCGTGTCAAGTCCCTTTATTGCATACTCGCCCTGCAGCGCGCAAGCACCCAGGCATGAGAATATATACAAACACACGCACACGCGTGCCTGGGAGAGTATCCTCCAACAAACACAAAGTACAACAGGCTCAGCCATCCAACTCAGGCCACAATCGCTCCCATTCTGATTCCTAGCAATGCCACCAAGAGCCCCTCAGCCCTCAACGGACTGTCCGCCCAACACCACATCCATGCCAGGGACTGCCCATACCAAGCTCCACATGCAACCCGATGTGCCAGGCAGTCACATTCATTGCTGCACCCAGTCAATGCATATGTACGCGCAGCAGCACCATGAACTCTGAACTCCGACTCTAAGGGTGGGCGATCATACACTGTGCCAGCTCCTCTTGCCCTTCATGGGTAAAGATCGTCAACCCCGACTATGGAGCTCAGTGCCACTGCATGGGCACCCAGCTGCACCGCCCGGACTGCAAGCCGGACTAAACAGCTGGGGAGAGTGAGACTGGTGGTCATGACTCAGCACACCCAGCACGAGTTCTGAATGCATGCAAGCCCAAACAACACAGCAAGCACCCATTTGGCCTTCCATTCTTGCAGGGCACCCCAGTGCAATGGACCCAAAACCAAGTCTCTTTATTCGTTTATCAGGGAACAGCTGCTCTAATGGGGTTGGGTGGGGCACGGTGGGGAAGCTTCACCTCAAATCTCCCTCCCCATCGGACTGGCACCTGAAGGCCGGCGACCCCTCTTCATTTGCGCCTTCACGTGCGCTGCTTCTGATGGTGACATTGCCCTGGAGGGAGGCAGGGAAGCGCCAGCGGCCCTGTGGCGTTTCATGTCGCTGACACTATGTTGGCCCAATGCCTGGAGCTTGCCTGCATCGGCATGCAACACAAGAGAGTATAAAACACAGCCAAGGTGTCACAGGTCTAACATGCAGACAGGCTCAACCTACAGCAGTATGCCTGCACAATAAAGGCAGGCCATGACATGGGGACATCACGCTCACCAGCCGGATGCTTTCACACAAGGGGTGCATTCTCAAGTTTCCAATCGAGATCGAAACGGAGTGCACTGTTGGCCCAAACCAAGCTGGGCAAACACCAAGGAGAAGGAGAGGGTGTATTCCCAAATCAGGTGCCACCTCTCGTGCCCAAATCCACGCCTGAAGAAAGCAGAACCCACGCAAGGCACCGCAAGGCACTGCAAAGCGCACCGATCATGTTGGGACCGAGGCGCCCTGAGGCTTGCCAAGCCTGGCAATCCCAACTGGGAGGGCACCCCACCGAGAGCACTACCGCATCATCAACCCCAGGACGCCGCCCCCGCGCGTCATCAGGGCCCAAGATCCGGCACATGCGGCGCCCGCCAAGCTCACCTCCGCCCTCGTCCACGTGCCTGATCTCCAGCGGCCCCATCTCCACGTCGATGTTCATCGTCATCTCCCGCGGCGCCCTGGCGGACTGCCGGCTGCGGCTCGTCTGCGGGCGGTGGCTGCGGGTGGACGCCGCCACGCTGTGAACGGGCGACGCCATGCCCGAGCTGGCCGACGATCGGCTCCGCTGCAGGGCGGGATTGGGCGGCGGGGGGCGCTTGGGCACCATAGGCGACCGGAAGTTGATTTTGGAGGCCGGCGTCTTGACGCACCACACGGACGCCCAGTTGGCCACGCAGCCCTGGTCATAGGGGTTCCTGGACCGCTCGTAGCCATAGCGGAAATTCTCGTAGGTAGTCTGGTTGGTAGACACTAAGTAGATGTGGAAGAACGACAGCCCGCCGACAAACAAGAAGAAGAGGACCGTGTAGGCGGCCAGAGCGACGGCCGCGGGCGCCTCCTGGAATGCCTCCCACACCGCCGGCTTACCCTCCCCCTTCTCCCGCGCGTCGTCCTTGAGGTTGTCGAACTCAAGCTTGACGGCCAGCACGGTGGTGCCGCAGACGTACAGGCACAGCAGGCTGCCCGTGAAGATGAACAACAGGAAGAAGCGGTAGTTGCGCAGGCCGATGGTGGTCCCCACCCAGGGGCAGTGGTGGTCGAACTTCTCGATGCAGTTGTCGTTCACGGAGCAGTGGTGCGCGCGCGGGGGCTGGTAGAAGTGGCAGGTCTCATTGTACCGCACCAGCACCTTGTGCCCATTCACGATCATCTCCTTGCTCTTGGGCTTGCGGCCAGCCCTGTACTCCTCGTCGGGATCCTGCCGCGGCAGGATGCCCGGGTCCATGCAGCCAGTCTTGAACAGGAAGAACAGCGCCATGAAGCCCAGGCCCACGCCCGCCGCGGGCAGCGCCACGCTCACCTCCTCCCACAGCACCTCCCCCACGAACAGCACGTACACCGCCAGGGGCAGCAGGATCAGGCACGTCGTCCCCAGTAGCGACTTGTAGTTTGGGCCCCCTATGCACCGCCCGCCGCAGAAGAACCGCTCGTTGCCCTGCCACTCCTCGTACACCCTCCCGCGGGGCGCCTCATGCATCGCCTTTCGCGCCCTCGGCCTCCCCACGGGCGCCCTCTCCCTGTGTATCCCGTCCATCTCCTGATGATCGATCCCTTAAGTAAAATAGCCCCGCGCCCTCACTCGTCCAGGATGTCGACCGTGCAGAAGCACTTGGCAACGCGGGTCGGCACGCAAACCGGCGGACGAATCGGCCTCGCTACGTAAGCCCGGTCTTCTGAATCAGGCCTCTCCCGGAGCGCACCCTCCGCCGCGGTCTCCCCCTCCAGGGATCCGGGCAGGCCGCCCGATGGGCCGCGTCCCCTGGGCCCGACTTCGATCGACGGCCGCCGGCCGGCGCCCCTTCCCGCCGATTGGCCGGCGCACCGCACGCCCAGCACCAGCCTCCCCGCGGGGTCGCCGGGATCGGAGGGCTGCTTCACGAGCGCGAACCGCAGGGGGGCCTCCTCCTTGGACGTGTCGACGCGGCTGACTCCCTGGATGCCCGGCCCTTTCATGCCCCCGGGCGATTGCTTAAGCCAGGCCCTCTTGCCAGGTGGCCCGCCTCCACCTTCGGCACCCCGCTCTCCCGCGCCCCTGTGGAAAAGGGGAGGGGGGGTTCCTTCTGCGGGAGAGGGCACCTGCCGCCCCTCCTCGGGTATCGGGAAGGCCCGGCGCAGGGCGCCCGTGTATTATTTTCGCCTCCCGTTGGCGCGAGTCGATCCCACGGGGCTGCCAGTACTTTGGGCCCGTGGAGCGCGCCGTCCAAGGTCGCCGTCAGGGCTTGAGGTGACGCCCTCTGTGCGGCGGGCCAATGGGCGGCGGCGGGTGGTGGCGTGATCGCCCTGATGAGATGCGCCTGGGGGGAGACGTGGCCGCTTGATCATCGCCATCAAGAGGCGGGGAGGACCGCGACGTCTCGTCATGCTCGGTGCGCTGAGTGTCCAGAGCCGGGAACTGCAAGGCAGCGCTGTACCGTGCTCGAGCAACGGGCTCGATACTTTCGTAAGTTCCAGCAGAAGTTTTGGAAGCGCTTTAAGCACATCCAACAGAGGTTCGAACAAAAGAGGTCCCTTCTGGTGGGCGACGCGGGAGCGATTCTCATTGGCTGCCGTGCCGGGCATTGAGGCCGGACGGCACCGGCGCTGCTGCGCCCCGGCGCGCATCCGCGACGGCGGGTGCCATCGGCAAGGAGACTCTGGCAGAACGGCATCCGGGGCGTCCCAAGGCGCCACTGCGATATTCTGCGCGAATGGCAAGGGGTGCTATTCTGGGCTGCTCTTTGGCCACGAGCGGTGCTGTTCGGGTCCCAAACTGCACCCCTCGGGGCCAAATAGCACAGTGGTGCCGTTGCTTCCCCAACCGTTGATTATGGTTTTGACATGCGTTGCTCTTGAGATGACCGAATAGTCCCACCGGGACAATAGTTTAGTGGAGTGCACCGCTCGGAAAATGCTTCAGTCCATTTTAAACTCCTCTTGCATCGCTTTCGACTTGCCATCAGTCATGATGTCGCTGCATTCAGTGAGTAACGCATGACTGACGTGCGGGGACAGCCCACTGGTTGACTTAGCAGTGTTGACCAGTCAGGGTTTGGCATGGACAGCCATTCAGCGTGGCGAACAGGAGAAAATGCACGGTAAAGAATACGAATGAGAGCACGTTTAAAGACTAAAAGGGAGGACGCCCACTACGCCTTAGGGTGGATATACACTAGTTGAAAAGGGAACAGTTGCTGCCGCGAGGCTCAAAGTTTTTCAAGGAATTGAGAAGGTGTTATTGTAGCTGGGCCTCATGAAATTATCATGCACAATTTTGCACATTGCTCAATGCGAGTCGCGATAGAAAAGCCCAAACTACTGCTGAAAGGCTGCAAAAGATGTGCATTTTTGGCCAACTCGAACAAATGAACACAAAACTTGACTACTGGCAAACTCAGGCACATTTGCAGTTTCACAACCACATGTCATGACCTTTGGAAGGTTGTTTCTCCATTGTGCCTGCGAGGGGCACGGTGTAGGAGGCAAACTGGCGGCAGCCGTCGATGGAGCCAGGTGGTTATATGCTTGAAGATGAGATCTGAATTGTGTGCGGCCAGTTGACAGACACAATGCAGCCAAGAAGACGTCTCTGATTGCAAGGACAGGGGAGTTTGGATCATGATGTAATGAGATAGCAGAAAGAAGAGCAAACAGTGGCAACAAACAAGAGCGAGCATTCACATTGCCAGCTTCCTAATGCTCTCCGCTCCAGTTCAGTAATGGCACTCTCAATCACATTTTATTCATACAAATACTGAGCAGCTGAAAGTTTCTTTCCTGGAAACACGCAGAATCACGTCATGTGGCCGTTCCTCTGTAATCAAACAGTACGTAGTTGGCAGTGGGGTCGTCCACACGGACGCACCCACACCATACACTATTCCTGGCAGCCAGACACGTAGCCATAAGTGGGCACGCCCCGCACAGCCTGGCCCTCGTCAGGGCACTCACCCTCCAGTCCCATCTGATCCCGCTTCCGCTTGTGAACCTGTCGCCACCGTTCTGCAGTACCCACAGCCACTGCTGCCACTGCCACAGACAAAATAACCCAAACAGCCATCCCAGTGGTGCGCCACCTGGGCGAGGCCCCTCCAGAGGTGGCGGCGGGTGTGGATGGCTGAGGCAACACCACATCATTCGATGCCGGAATGTTGCAACAAGGGCGTCAAAAAGGGCAAAGGAAAACACTGACTGTGAGGAGGGCAGCTGCAGGGAGCCCTCAAACCTGCCGGCGATGTGGAGGCGGTCCCCGGGGTCTGTGGTGATGGCAGAGACGACAGAGTCCTTGGGGCCCACTGCAGTTGTCACCCACTGGACAGACACAGGACGATGAGTCAGCATCCGGCTCACTTATATAACACATCCAGGCAAGACACATCCAAGCAAGAAGGTAGCAATAGGCCACCCCCTTTCTGCCCTAAACTTGTGCCAACAAATGCTGCAAATATGGTGAAGTTGCACATCAAGCCACGTGCTCACTCGCATTCTTATGACATGCCCTCATTGCACACTGCACTGGGAATTGGAGGAGCAGGGATGCTGCAAAGGGGAGAAGGTTGCAACGTATTTCGCCAGGAGAGCGGGCTCCAAGGCATGGACACTTCTCCAGTATTTAATCACTTTTGGGAAAACACCTATGTTGGTGCGTGCAGGGAAAGGTGGTGCAGCAGGCTTTTGGGTGACGACTGCAACAGTGCAAGAGCCACGCCCCATAGTGAGCCACTGTTTGCAACAAAGGAAAAGGGGCAGCCTGTGGCAACACTGGAATGTCAAGTGACGCACACTCTCGTGCCACCCTCACAACATTGCCGGCCCTGCAGGCCAGCGGTTGTTGGAAATGGTTGCCATTGGAGAGGTTGGCAATTGCATCTGCAGAGGCGTAGAAGACGTGGGTTCATCGCATGGCTGTCAAACAAAAGGTGGAATGACAGGGCAATACAAGCGGTTTCCACAGAATGGGGATTGGGAAGGTTATGATCGGCATTGTGTTGATAATCGAGTTCAGTTGGCCAAGTGACGCCAAGGGGACTGGTGACATACACTGGGCTGGCCATTCTAATAGCGAAGGCGCTCCCCTTTGACCCCTGGTTGCTTGCCTGGGAGTGTGTGTAGTGACGTCAGGGTTGCTATTAGGCACTTTTCATGGAAGTTCAGTTGCATCGCCTGGATTGATACTTCATGCTTTGTGTCCTTGGACCGAGTTCATTTGGGGCCTAGGGGCCCTGTGATTCTTGTCCATGGGGCTGGCTTTCCCTGCTTGGATTCTGGTTTCGTGGGGGCACATCATACATACCTCTGACAAGCAAACAGTGGCCATGCCAAATTCTTTACAGAGTTCCCTTGCCTTCCCCAATTTGTACCAGCCACTACCTCAGCTTTTGTATTGCCACTGTGAATTGGGAATCCATCCCCTAGCAGGCCACTTTACATTGCCATCAAGTATATTCGGCAGTTTTTGCTTTTGGACTTTTGCCAGCTTAGGGGAGCTGCCCACCACATGTCTTGCCCTCCAACTCATGCACATGCTATGCACTCACATGAATGTCCAGTTCTTCTGATTTGAGCTTCATAACGAATATGTCCAAATTCCCTTTGCTGTGCACCTCAGGCACATTCAGGGACACCTCCACGTAGCTGCACTCAGGCTCTCTGTCTGTGTGTAGATCAGACCCTGCATGTCTCGAAGCTTGTCTCGAATGTACCAGCCACGCACACGTCCCCACCCTTGCAGCCACAGCATGGACCTTGTCCTGCCCAGGCCCCCCCCATCCGCAACACCCACTCCACGCAAGGGGCCGCCATATCCACCTTGATGAGCAGGCCATCAGTGCGGGTAAACTGATCGCCAGTGTTGTAGGTGCTTACGGTGCAGGAATCTGGCATTTGCAGGCTTCCCTGCACAGCAGACAACAGCCCAACACTCTCTTCTTACACACGAGGCACAAATTATCTGCTGACTCACCACCTCACAGCTTACTATTTGCCCATTGCTGGTGTCACAATTTGCCACTTACCCTCAGGTAGCCTGAGATGTAGGCCACGTCTGGACACAAGGCCATCCCAGTTGCTTCAAAAAGACCCTGCCGAACTTGCAGGTGGAACAATACATTCGGCTGCCCACTGAACGAGAGGTCAGCCTGCGCGATGGGTTCCTCAGGGAAGGCCTCAATGCTTCTCTCCAGTGGAAACCTGTTTTCCAGTCCCAGAAACACATATGCACATGCGCTTGACAAAGAATGATACACCTCACTGCCTCATGGTGCTCGCTTCTTTCAACACAGTATTCACAGACAAAATGCACAACAAATTATGCTGACATGTGCCAGTGTATCAGTCTTATGCTTAGTTAAGGGTATGCTGTGCTTTCCTTTTGATCAATTGTCACTGTTCTGTGCAGTACACTATTGAGTCAACTACACATATGCATTGCTCCACACAGAACACGTGGAATGACAGGTCTGTTTTGGGAAAACAGACCTGGGGCAGGAAAGCTTGTTTGCATTGCCAGCCTGTGGAGAATACAGTGTCAAATGCTCGTTTAAATAACAGTCATTTCACTTGATCCAGGTTTCCATTGATGTGGCAGCCTGGCCAACAGATGATCTTTTGGGTGCACCTGCTTGAGCAAATATTGTAAGAATTGTCTTCTCCCAGTGCTCTAACACACTCACACTCTAACACTGGATTCCGACTGTGCCTAGTTGCAAGTGTCCATCGCAGCCTTATTGCTCAAAAGATCTGAATCTGCACCGCACACACCGTCCTCAACACCATGGTACCAGTTCTATATTAGGCTAATTCCAACTTCAAATATGTGGACACACCTTTCAATTTGTGGATGCAACCTACAGAGGACGGCCACCCTGGCATCCCCACTTGCAGTTTCCCTTGAAGTGGCCGCCATGAAGAGAGTTGTCCACATCGGAGGTGCACGTTGACCATCGTTTGTTGGCAAGTTTATGACATGGTCGCTTGAATTCATTTCGACAACATACGGTGCTGTGACAGGAAACCAGGATCAGATGCACTGGAGGAACATCTGGCTGCTCACATTGTTCAAATGCAATTGTTCAAAGCACAAAACCCCTAAACAACAAGGTGATACCAAAGTTTGCTATTCGATTCACACTCCAACTTTCACGCGAGCTTATCATGTGCACAGTACTCCACTGTTGTTGCTGATTGGGACACCAATAAATCATTACTGTGGCATTCCAATAGCACGGGCAGACTCGTAGCTGTTATACTAGTGGTGCATTGGAACTCAAAAGCGTGGCCAGGGGCTTCAGGACATGGGGTATGCAGGCCTCCAGTGCCCCCATGCTGGAGTTCCAGCGTTCAGCACCAAACATGAACAGTCAGGCAACATGACCAGATCGGCTGATGAAACCTTTAGCAGACCTTCAAGTCTTGAGTTCAAAGGCTCCACTACCCTTAGGCTCACTGTTGGGGGGGAGCTGCTCAAGTACTCGAGAGTCTTGATATGTTACATGACTTAGGGATAAGGTCTTCACAGTTTAAAGCTGCAGTACTCTAAGGGCAATCGCCCACCCCCCCACACATAATGCAGCACGAGTGAGCATCAGGGCAGCATGCAACCACCGGCATCCACGCTGTTTCCCCCTGGAAATTCCTGCTGCAGGTTTCCAGCTGCATCCAGCAGTTTGATAGACAACCCTCCCTCGAAGGTCCCAGCCACGATATGCTGTCCCCTTGAGTGACTAGGCCACCCTGCGTGTTTGCACATACACTGCCGACCATCTCCAGGTTCCACAGACCAGGGCTGACAACACTAGCGCACCCATTGTCATTGCTGGGCAACTTGGAGCCAGTCCCCTGGCATCTGGACGTGGACATATTGGAAAGTACACTGAATTGGGACAAACACAGCATACACGCCAGTGTTCAACCTCCACTTGATATGGTTTGCACATGAACGCTCCATAGATTGCAAGTTCGATAGGAAGCAAAACAATAGCTTCCCCTTGAGCAACACATCTGAGCGCCAACATTGCGTTCGGCTCGCCGTGACAACAGGCAGCCCTGTCACAAGGGTCATCACCAGGTCAGCATCGTCAAGGTACTGGGTGCAGTTTGCAACTGGCATCGGTCCCTTTACCAGTTCAGATGAATGGCCCATGCAGCCAGTCCAGCTCCTCCAAGCCATTGGATGTCTGGAAGCATGAAAGGGAGGCAGGCACAAGGGATCAGAGAGCCCAGCAACTTCAAAATATTTGCAGTGAATTTGCTTACGAGGGTCATGTGCAAATGAAGGTAAAGTGGGCCCAGCCCTCCATGACTCTGCTGTTTGTGGCCTAGGGGCCGCATTCACAACAGTGCAAGCAATTGTGGCCGCAACTTGAATGAGCATGCATACACCAGCAGATATCTACAATGCAAAATACGAGTTGGGGACAATAATGCTGGCATTGGCACACATCGCTGTGCTGATAGAATGGCAGATTTCCAGCATCACTCAAAGAGGCCTGGAGTTCATGCATGTCCTCAACCGCATTTTTATCTTATGCAGAACTTGCTTGTCACAGAAGGTTGAATGCATAGGTGATTCAACATGCTATCATAAGTTGTGGCTGGCATCAGCAGTAAGCACGGGCACAGATGAAATCAACAGCTGTGGCTCATTCTTGAGCATAATTTACATTCATTGCACAGTATCATAGGAAGTTTAATATTTGGCAAAGTCATGTCATCTGGACCCAGAACTCGTGCTGTCCTGAGTCGCAAGCCCCAAACCCACATTTTGCCAAACCAGCATCACATGGGAGAGGTGCAGGAAGAAGAACTTTCCTGGATCAGCAGTGGGTTGGGAGTGCCTGTAGGACCCACCAGTGCCGAGCCATAGATACCTGCCAGCAACTCTTGTTGCGTGCCCTGTGCCCGCTTCAAACATCTCATCCTGCATCAAGCTGCAGCGATCCTACTCTCACCTTTGCAACAAAAACAGCATCAATGGAAGACTCTTCTGCTTGGAGGCTGGCGCTGGCAGACGACTCGATCTGAAAGCCTGATGTTCTGGGGACTCCCGACAACTGGCCCTCATCATCACCATTGAAGCTGCCAACTACATATTGGTTGTTCGCGTCGAAATGCAAGAGGCTGATCTCGTCTTCGTAGCTTCCACCAGCCAACAGGACATCTATGTTCAACAGGTCTGAGCAGGCACAAAGTATTGAATGAGTGTACATGATGATATTTGGTGTTGTCCTAGCCCAGTGGAAAGATGCTGGTGTGCCAGTTTGACACGCACATTAGTTGCAGCTCAGTGTGAGCCTTTGGCGATGTGACACGTGTTAATGGTTATTGATGGAATGCAGGCTTCCAACTTACAGACATGCCACAGTCTGTACAGCAGCCCTTGCAGGTGTGAATTCCTAATCCTGGCATAGAATTTCTTAAACTTCATTGCATTTGGTGGCTGCCGCATGTTGGCACTGTCGACACGCCAAGAATAAGGACACACACCTGCAAAGTGGACTGTGGCTGGATTAACATCCACACTGCGTCAACAGTTGCAACCACTTGTAACCCAAAACATGCACTGGAGGGCTACAAAAGGGCAATCGTCCACTGAAGAACAACGAGACACAGCCACATTAATTTTGCAACGAGAATCGCATCCCTTCCAACAATACTCTCAACCTCAGCCCCAATTCAATGCCTGAAACTGTTTGATGGCACAAGGTCAGTGCTTCTGTCACCCTTTCCGCCAAACATGTTAACCAAGAATAGTGACAGCCAATGACACAATGTAGCTATCAAGTCACTATACAACTCTGTAATGATGCAACAAGGATAACAGAAAAAATCGAAGTTCGCATTCTACACCATTTGAGGGCAACTCACCAGGGAACGAGGCCGCATGAGCCTCACACAGACACAAAATTAGAAGGGCAAGCAGCTGAGCCCAAGCCACAAACAGACTCCCTCAATGCCTTGCTCTGTGGCCAGCTCTCCAGCTTGCCAGATGCACTCTAGGGCTTGCTATCGTGCAGAATCGGCAGTTTTCACCTTTGCCACCAGTGGTGCAACTCCCCCTGTAAACCAAATCATCCCAACCTCCTGAATATCTGAAACCCACTCTCGCAGGTATCACTCTGCATTTGGCATTTCTCTCCCAGGCAAACACTACCAAGACTCTTTTCCTTGCACCAGGCACGATTCAGCAGCAACATAGAAGGAACAGACAATTCAAAACTGAAAACACGGCACAACACAATACAACCTCATGTTGTAACATTTGTTATTCTGTGTTGCGTACTATCTGATTCGATCAGAGACTCACACGTTGGCTACTATCGTACCAAAAGAGTCCCACAAATTTTGTTCAGCACACAGCTGCTCACTCCTAGTCCTCTTTCTTTTGAGGCAATCTTCACAACCCAACACCAAACCAAGAGAAACCATGTCACACTCTTTCTTTTTCTTCCTGGAAGAGGGGAAATGAGCAGAAAGGGGGGACGGGGGACGGGCAGGTATTTTTGGTGTATCTAAAATTTGGAGATGGCTCCATGGAAATGTCTTCCAGTCTCGGCGGTGCTGGCCGGCGACGCCTAAACGCCGACTTGCCCCAGTGTCCGCCGGCCTGGGGGATCCTGAGCCAGAGGGTGGCTGCGGCCAGCGGGGTGCCAATCCACACATCCCCAACACCGATCCAAAAATTTGATCTCGCTTTCGGGAACGAGGTCATGCGCCCCCGCCCCTCACAATGCACACAGACGTTCAATGGAGCAGACTGTGGAGCCCGCATCCAGATTACGCAGGTCGACCCCAGGCCGTTCTCCGGTAGCTGCCCCCATTACGCAGCCAGGGATTACCGCTTGCATGCCTGGCAGACGAATGGCGGGCGGAGAAACGAGCGACTGAACGGACGGGAAGAGACAAACGCTGTGTAGACGCGTTTGGCCGTCATCGCTGCAAGGTGCAAGGGGCTGGGCACTGTCTTTTGGTGGTAAACGCATGGCGAGGAACGCCGCTGCCGGAGTAAGCACGCGCTTGAGAGAGTGCGAAGGACAAGGGGCCCGCTCCAGAGGGCACGGATGCGCGCCTTTCGACGAGACGGGCATTCACACTCGTGGGCGCGCACTAATTGTGCGAGGCCTGCAATTCCAAGGCACACCCTCCGCCCGCGGCAACCGAAATTTCCCCCGAAAAGGCTCCCACTATCTCCAACACTGAACCCCATACCGCGGCATCAAGCCAAGCCAAGCCAAACGTACGCACTGCGCGGGGTTGCCATCTCAATCCCCTTGCACACAAAGTCCACCAATAAAGAAATGCCTCGCCACGGCTAACAGCACAGCATGCGGAAATTTCGGCTCCAGGCTCGCGTTAGGGATTCAATTCACAGTGCACCGGGTAGTGCCGCGCGATGCAATGGAGTGCAGCCGCGCGGGGTGGAGGAGTGCGTCAGAGCCGCCGCGCGCCGCGAACACACCTTGGGGCAGTGTGCGGCTTGGCATGGAGGGAGAAAGGTAGTGTTGCTGGCTGCTGCAAGGCTGTTGCCGTGCGGCCACTGCTTGCACTTGCGAGTGCGCTGGGCCATCTCCGTCCTCAGCCCGGCAAGAGGTGAGACCATGTCTGAAGTTGCGCCAAGGTTGCGCAAGACAGGCAGGACGCTGGTGTGCATGAGTGGAAATTCTCTTCATTGGGACACGGTTTAAGCCGTACCCAATCAGTGCCGGCCAGTACCATAACAGTCAGAAGTTGCTGACGACGAACAGTGTTCATACCCCTTTGGCATCGAAAAGTTTTACCGTTACGCTTTTTGCACCTCTTTTTTCTGTCAGAGCGTTGTTTGTTGTTTAAGCGTTGCTCCACAAAAGTTTTATTTGATGTTGCTCCGCAAAAAAGGCCAAGCGCTGCGTTCCTATGCAGAAGGGGTTTCAAACCTACGGTATGCGCCTCTCGAAAATTGAAATTCCAGTGCCGTTGTGATAGGCTGTTTTGTGTTTTACTGATCTGCGTCGGAAAGCAGAGAGACCAGGAACTCTTTCCAGCTCAATACGACTGGCATGGTCCCCCATTCCTGGGCTCCGGGTACCATCGTCGAACTCTTATTCTATTTGTCATGAGAACACAAAACACAGTAGCTCCGTGCAAAGCGTTTGGCCAATATCATTTACTCCAGTGTCTGGGATCTGGACTCCCCGGTTTCATGCAAAGCTGCTTATAACCCAGTAGTAATTAGTACTTTGGGGCCAGGAATATTTGGGTAGCTGTCGACGATGCTGCAACGCACTACGTGAGTATTTGCAAAATATTCGGGGTGCAGCTTCTCGCGGCACATGGGACGCATGGTTCGCCACCTCGTGAGGTAGCGACAGCAAAAGCAACAAGTGGAACAACTCGAAAACTGCTGATCAGTAGTTTTCGAGTTGTTCCGCCCATTGCTGTTGCTTGTAACTCCAGGCGGGCGGTTTTCCGAGCGACGGTCGCAACTACTGATTGTGTGGACTAGAGTCGCAATGAAGCCACCTGAACGGTCGAATTGGGAAGCTGGTGGCTCCCATCACACCTATGGAACTAGGTGTGTGGAACTAGGCGCCCACTTGTGCAAACGCTCCTGATTGCTTGGGTGGCCGAAATGTTGATTGAGACAATGGGCATGAGCACAGGATCTGGCTCTCAAACTTAGTTTATTTTATTGCATTTAATTGGCTTTACCCTCAATTTGCTTAATTCAATTTGCCTTTACAAGGGTAAATACCAACATTTGCTCCAAAGGCACCACAGTGCTTCAAGTAATGGATTCGCCCAGTAGGTGAGCCAACGCTGCACATCAGTCTGCAAAATATTAGAGCCGTGCCACTGCATCTGTCCACAGCTACATTCATTTCAGAAAGTCGTCCCAAATAGGCCAATGAACAGCCAGCCCCTGGCCACGCATACATTTGAATGCTTGCACAGGTTGGTTGTGACATCAGGGCAATTTGTCACCCTGTGCATCAAGTTGGCACTACAGGGAAACAACTGTGATGTTGAGGGATTGAACTGACTGCCACAAAATCGACACAAGCCATGGACAAAACCAACTGGAATCCACAGATAGAGTGAAACCACTCGTAGTCTGACATCTTCATTATCAATACGATGGCAGGAGCACGTGGTCAAGTCATGTTGTCAACTGGCGTTGTCCGCTGACTTGGACTGCCACCTCTGGCGATCTTGTAGACCATCAGCCAGGGGCGAAATGTCAGGGTTCCAATTAATCATTAAGCATGGACTTTGATATGTGGGAACTATTGTGGGTTGCCCTGAAGGCCAATTCCCACCATACCCTTGCATGCACGGATGCAAGGTAATCAGCCAAGACCAAGCAATTAGCACTTCTGTTACATGAATGCAAACACTGGGACAGCATTCACACTGACCACATTTTCAACCGACCCGACAATATGCAGGACAGCTGAAATCCTACATTCAGACCTATTTTCTTGCCCTTTCTTGTAAGTACCCCCCTCCCCCCAGAACAATTTCTCGAGGGCAACCCTCCACAGAAACCAACCACCTCCACCAAATCTGGTGCGTTAATGCAAGCACATGAAACTTAATGTGTGGCCTCCAGTTCGCCCACAAGATGAAGCCCTCACCAGCACGTAGTGCAGGTCCTCTCTCAGAGCTCAACGTACCTTTTACTTGGTGACTTTGCATTCCAAAGGCAAGAAGTAACACTGCTCTATTTGTGGCCAGCATTGTCGTGTGCTGATCAGAACGACCGGCGGTTCATTACTGCAGGTCCTGCCTCAGCATACTCTTCCCGGGAGACACACATGGCTGGAAAGCTGGAGAGATGTGCCAGCGTAGAGCCCCCCAGCCAAGTCAGCCAGTCCCTGGGACCCTTGGACACTACTGTGGGAGCCATGCCCTTGGGAAGCGCACCATGCAACTCCCCCTCCAGCCTCTCAACAAAATTGGGAAACATCGTCGATCCCCCTGCGATGACGACATTGTCTGCGAGCATCCGCTGAACATCGTGGTCGCTCGCTGATATGGCCTCTGCCACAAGGTCGTGCACACCTGCATCATTCATCCCCACAATGCTGGGATTGAAGAGCGCCTCCGGGGCGATGAACCTCTCAGCACCAACACCAATGATCTGGCCATCGGGCAGCTCGTGCACCACCTCTGCCTCTGTTGTCCTCGACAGGACGTCAAAGTCAAACTCGCGCGACACATAGCAGATCTCCTCTTTGATCCGCCGCACAGCCTTCCTGTCGCCCTTGTCGCCAAACGGCAGTCCCCGCATCGCCAGCAGTGCCATGAACCGGTCTGTGAGCTCATGGCCAGACACCCATGACGACCGGACGGCATGGGGCAGGGCATAGCCCTCATACACTGGTACTGCCCAGGAACGGCCCTCACCAGAGTCTAGCACCACCCCTGTAGTCATCCCGTGAGCATACAACGGCAGGACCGCTTTGTTGGCCATGAACACCGCAGGAACATTGTACGTCTCAATAAACACCTGTGTCATTCTCTCCCGCGTTCTTTTTGGGCACAGTGGGGGTTCTGTTACAAGCATGCAGTGCTCCATTGGATGGATGCCCAGCTTTCCATTGAACAGGTAGCTCCAGATGGTCTCCAGGTCATCAAAACTCTTCACACTGTTGTTCTCGATCGGTTGCCGCAGGCTGAGTATGCCACTCATACGATATGCTTCGTCGCCTATGAAGAGGTCATTTCTACCCGCGGGGCCAAACACAGCCCTCAGACGCCCCAGGATGTCGGGGAAGGCTACCACAGGCTCGGTGGCACCTGCAAAACCCGCCCGGATCATCCATTCCCCCGCATCGCAGACGATCGTATCCCCCTGGCAGTTGATGCTCTTCATTTCTGAAGCACAAAAGGATTGCAGCTGTTGGTGTAACTGTTTTCCAGACTCTGAACAACACCAAGGAATGTAGACATTTCCTGTTGTTGCCTCATTCGATGGTCGCCTATCCCCAGGTGGTGGCAGATCATTGATACAAATACTGCCCACGACCATATGTGGACGTCAACTGGACTGCACAAAATCGAGGGGCTTGGACATACCTATCAACAACTTGTTCTGTTGACATATGGATGAGGCACTCATGCAATGCTTGGCTTTGCTTTATGTCTCTCTGTGCAGAATGTAAAGGAAAATCAGTAGTTTATGCTCAACTGGGGTGCATCCCTCGACAGGCCATGCAACACAGCATGTTTGGGAAACCAAAAAGACTCCGAAGTACACTTTGGGCCAGTAGTAACACTGCATTGGTTCCCAGGACCCTGACTCGTATCCACAGCCCCATTGAGAGGTTTTGCCTTTGCCCTCCCCGGTGGACATCTGCCCCAATTCAGAACCCCGGGCGGAAATTGCGGTGACTAATAGTTGGTGCCGAGACTGCCGACGAGAGCGTCAAGGCTCAAATCGATAGCGACCAAAACCGATGGAATGTAGCAGCAGCCGAATTGCTGAAGCAGCCCGTGCTGCCCTGTTGGCAACAAATCGATCCCCATCCACCACAACCACCACACAGATATTCTTACCTTCCTTTGAGAAGAGCTTTCTCTCTTCTTCTTGACTATCCTTGACGGATGGGTTGGCCATGTGGTGGGCATCGATACTTGGACATGGACATTATTGGTTGCCTTTGCACAGGGCTGTGGCATCACAGCTGTGGCTTGTCAATGCAATTGTGATGTACAACAACCACCAGATGCACACACAGACGCACACGGTGGCGCCTGTAGCGTCGCAACGTGAAACAAGGCCCACTGTATGCATGCTTAGGAGGGGTGCTCCATAGTAGGGCCTGTGTTTCGGGGATTTTTATACATCCCTACAGCACATACAAAGGCCCCACCTGTTGTGTCACGCCATGCGCCACCGCCGACGCCCTCTCTCCGGGCACAATAGGCCGGACACCCCCGGGACTGTGCTGAAGCGATGGGCCCCCACGAGCGCCGCGATTGCAGTCCCCACTTCCTAAGAATGTTCAAATCGACGCCTCGGCGTTACGCCCTACGTCCTCACTGCCGTTTGCAGAAGAACCCTACGTGAGCCCCACAGCAGCATCAATCCCCGCCCGACATCCGCAATCCACCGCGCAGCAACCGCGAACATTGAACGGCAGCCAGCCTGCGTTGATGCGCTGAATCTCACTCTGAACGCCCCAACAGCGTCGGCGCCAAGCTCTCGCCGGCGCATCACCGGGCGCCGAGTGCACACTTCAGCACAACCGCGCACAAGCGTTCCAAGGCTCCAGAAGGTGCCCAGATCTGCATCGAGACGCGTGAGCGCGTTTCATACCACCAGCGCGCTTCGCTCAAGGGCTCCCCGCCCTACCATGCTCCGTTCCGGGTCGGGTCGAAGCGCGCCCAGGGGTGAATGCGAGCGGGCGGCATGCCACCGCTTGGTCCGGAGCCGCGTCGCCGCGACTCACCTGGCGCTGTGTGTCGTTGCCGCTCCGTTCAGCTTGGGGAGACGCCTTGGTATGCGGGTTCCCGCTCCGTTGAGTGGTATTGGAATAGCTGTGGTGGACAAACCGCAGGGACATAAATGCAAATGGGCGGGAAGGAAGCGCGCCATCGCTGTCACGGTTGCGTGGAAGGGAACGAAAACGCTGCGCGGGACGAGGCGGGTGGAAGCTCGACACTTACTTGCGCACTGTGTTGGAGCACAACATCAGAGCGCTCCCAGACGTACTAGGTCCAATGACAGAGGCGATATGCAACGATAAATGCAAAACCCGCAAGTATCTGGGGTCGCGTGACGCCACGTGGGGGATATCGCTGGGCGTGACGCCGGAGGTTGGGGGTTTAAGGGAATCCGCGTGAACGTGGAGAGGCGCCACGCGACCAAATACAAGCCTTGGTAGCAAACTTTCGTTTGCTGGACATCAAACATTTGCTGAGAATTGTGTGTGTTGTACCCAACTTTGGTCACTCTTTAAATTCTGATCATTTGTGGATTCGCGCTCTTGCCATGACCAGACAACTTGGGAATCCTAAATGCTGAGCACCAGCCAACACAACCAACAACAGGTTTGTCGTTGTTGACCTGCGCCATGCATTTACAGCACATCCCGTTTACATCTCCGAAGCTGTGTACCATACTTGGAATCTTGCATTTCTGAAGCTACCACAATATTGTGTCAGCGTAATATTGCACAAGCACAACGTCTTTTTTTTGTGGGGGGCGCCCGGCGAAGGCGAGCCGCCATGGTCATGTATTTCAAAGCTTGGCTTGCGAATCAATTGAACATGCAATTGAAAATAATCGATGGCACAACATCGTTGGGTCTTTTGTAGTGTTGTCACCAAGTAGCTACCTTCCATATCCTGCCATTATACGCAAGACTATTATGCCAAGACCCTCAAATTTTGTCCATAGCCCAAGAAAGTAGAACAGCCTACTCACGCTAAAACCCATAACCCCGCCTGAGTACCCTCCATCCAGTGCAGGCTCAGGACTCCGATCAGGCTCGATCTGGACCCTGGACCCAGGAATACCTGTGCGCATAGCAAGGCTGTAGCCATCAATCTCATATCCCCATCTCACTAGGAAGCGTGCCCATGGCTACTCGCCACTATCCAGCGCTAGCTTGTGAGCGCAACCCTCAGCGCAACGATGATGGACACATTTTTTCTGTTTCCCATGGCCACCCGGCCTGCTCTCTAACTTTGGAGCCCTGCCGACGCTATGCCGATCGGAAACAGAGTAGGCGACGCAAAATGCCGAGGAGCAAACCTCTAATGGCAACGAAAGCCGAGCCACGCCAATAACGTTGTTTTACTACACCAAAGTATTAAACAAAGTACGCCTTGTTGAGGCACCTTGTGGCGGTGTGACACCACTAGACGCCGTCTTCACGCGAGCAGGACCCAGGTTCGCCCGGTCCCCCGGACGGCCCTGGGAACGGCCAGGGTGCTGCCTCCGCATTTTGCGCCGCCCCGTGCGCATCCCGCTCAGGTCGCCTTTCCGATTCCTGCTTGCCCATCTTCAGACTGCCGCCAGGATTGAGAACATAGACTCGGATTCTTGCCAGCCTTCGGCGGATCAGCGGCCGACCTTCCGTCGCCCTATGGCTCGCCGGGCGGGCCTCGGAGCGCATGGCCGCCTTCAGGCAGCAGCCGAGGGTGATCGCCAAGGCGCCCAGCAGCCAGGCGATGAAGACAATGACGATGACCAAACCCGCGACGTTTCTTCTGGCTTCGTGCTGGGCTGGGGAGCCGGAGGGTCGCCCTGCGAGGCCAGGAAACGCAAGTTGAGTCGCGCGTGGCGAGATAAGGCTATCAACGGCGCCGCGCCTTGCCGTCTGCTGGCAATTGATTCACCCGCTGCCACCATTGTGAATGCCCATTTGACCAAGGAGAGGTCCCCTCAGTGCCCTGGCGGAGACACGAAACGGTATCATGCGCCACCGAGGCCGTGGTGATCGTTGGTATTGCATCGTTAGTGGCGATGCGTTCCAGTACAGCGTGGCCAACGCGCATCTGGCCACCGAGCTGGCCCATTCCGCTTCCACAGCCGCAGCCGACCCTCTGCTCAATCGCGGACCTGAATGGTTGCCATCATTGAAGTCTTGGCCTTGGAAATCCTGCGCAGCCAGTAGCACAATCGGCCGTCAGGGCCATCTGTGCCGCGAGATCGGCGCACCGATTCGGAGCCAGCGCCACGTGCCACGCCAAAAAAAAACGCGGGTTCTCTCACTGCAAGTCGGGTGTCATCCGGTCCGGGCATGCCGTTCTTCCGGTACCTGTCTGTGTCATTGCCAAATTTTCGGCCAGCTTGAGTTTGGAGTTGTGTCCCAGCTTCGCATGTACGCGAAGACCAGCTGGCCTGGCGTGTCGCGAAGTGCCTCTCCATGTGCTGCCCAGCAGCACACGCCCGCTATCCATGCGCGAGCAAATCACCGATTTGCAGCCAGGCGCGTTCGCAAGAATTTTTAAGTTCCCCCCCGCCCCCGTGATCATCCCTCCGCCACGGCCAGCTCCCGCCCTTGGGGGAGGGGTCGCTACTGACCGTTTTGCTGACGACGCAAGCTGCTTCTAGCCAGCCACCATCCGTCGCTCGAGTTGCGTCGCCGCGAATGGGCAGATCAGACGCGGGCCGGTGGAGGCCGCAGCGGGGAGCTGCCGCCTTCAAACGCCGGCGCAGGGGGCCGCCTCTGCTCTGTGGGTTCCCCTTTGGACGAACACGGGCACGAACAGTGCGCAACGTGACTGGCCGTTCGCTCGACCTTGGATGAGAGCCCAACATAGAGCAGCGTGCATTACGTACCGGGACTGACGGCGGCGTTGCGTGGAGCTGGCCCGTCGGCAAATGCGGTCATTCCTTCACCGTGTGAAATAATTAAGAACCGTGCACTGTCCTTGGGCGGGCACGGTGCCCATGTGCGCACGAGCACGAATGGGTGGATGCAACTCAGCTTCCAACGGGTTGCAAACCTCCCTTCATAGAATGGAAGGAAACCCAAATGAATTATGAATAACGCTAGTAGCAAGTAGCAACAACAGCCTTTGCAGCCAGGGCAACGCAACGGAGGGTACTTCAAAGGCAGGGTACTGAGCTCGGCGGCCCTCAAAAGGCAGGAACTGGCATAGCTGGCCCACTTTAAAATAGGACAGGCAGGACCCATTGAAATGACACCGTTTCCTCCATTCTTCTAGAGTTTAGTGTTGATAACCACAAACTTCAGGAATTCACCACCATTTGAGGCAGAATTGACATCTGTGGATGGACATGTTTTACCATTGTCACTGGGCCCAAACTCTGCAGGATATGTGACGCCCAACTCGACAAACACACCGTCGGACGCATCAGACCATCATCACCCCCAATGTACGGCTTGTGTGGATTGTCACGTTTCGGCACTGTGCTTCTCTGCACAGGATAGGCCGCAATCCACAGGGGGCTTGTAACATCACAAACATGTCAGGGAGGCAATGCGGCTTTGTGGTGAAGTACAAAAACCTGCCCAAGTGCACGTGCTCCTTTGCTTTCTCGTTGACAAGAAATGGAAAAACGATTGATTTTGAATTAAACAGCGGGGCTCGTGAAGTCCCACGCTGAACAATAGCTACCACGTGTTCGAGTGCCATGATGTTACAAACAGCTGACTAGGACCGACAGGAGGGTGCCTACACTTAGGAACAGCAATATGACTCAACGATCAGCCATAGACGCTCAATGAGAGTCATTAAAGGCACAACCACTATCACAGCCCTGTCAATCGCCCAGGAGTTCTGAGCATTCCGCTCCTACACTTTTATCAACTTAGCTCATAAACACTCACAGGACAACGAGAATCACCACAGCAAGTAAATTCAAGCCCAACAGTACAATTGGGGTGTTGTCGAGCGCTGCCGAAGCGAGGCGCAACCCCAGAGCTGAACTTCTCTCAGCTGCTTAATGCTCTGCCTAGCAGCGGTAATTCATCACCGGTCAACGAGGCGACTCCCTTCGCCGCCTTTCACAGCTCCTGAAACTTCGTTCAGTAAACCGCCAGTACTTCAAAAGACTCCACGCAGCTTTGCCATCGTCGCGCACTGGTCGTTCACCAGAAACTTCCTTCCAATCCACTCGATAGTCAAATCGCAGGCGGC